TTGAGCCATATTAACAATTATTTTATTATATATATATATAGAGATGAACATCCAGTGTTGACTCTTATCCGTAATTCTCTTATTGTATTGTAATTCTCTCATTTAAATTCTTTAAAAAGTCTAATTTCATTTTCTTTTATTATGTTATGTTATGTTATGATCTTCAAGACAATAGAGAAAAAAAACTTGCTGCTTACTTAGCTCCCGCGTCGTGGCGGGGCGCCTACGTTTAGCGACCTCCGTCATGAAATAAGAATAATCCATTTCTCTGCACTAATGTGTATATTCGTTCGCTTAAATCCGATAAAACAGCTCCGAATTGTTATTGATCACATGTGAGGTCAGATACGTTGTCGTTTATTTTTCTGCACACAATAACAGTTGAAACAATATTATTAACAAATCGATCGTTATTGATTGTCAGTATCTCAACTGCAATTTGAAAAGTTTAAATAAACGATAATATAATTTTTAGACCGCGTATGTGAGAGACACAACCAATAAATAAGAGCCCTATACGGTCGAAGCTAGATCTTAAAATGCTTTAAATAATTCAATCTTGAATCACTAAATATGATATATACGTACTTGACATATATACCACAATTGTAGTCTAACGAACTGTGCACCGAAATATTTCCGGACTAAACACAATTAAACCATTATAGTAAATTTCGCGAATTAAATTAAATTCTAATAATTTCGATGCTCAATCAGGCATCATATTTCAAAGATATTAATATGCTGAAAAAAATTATAATTTACTTTAAATAAACACTCCGTTCGTAACTTTCTTCTTCACTTTGTATTATACGTTTCCTGAAAGATAAGCACTCGAACCAGATAGACTTGTCAAGAGACACTTTCTAAAGTGAAGCTGTGGTTACCCTTGTCAATACTGACGGCGCGCTCGGCTATGCCTGCTTTTATATTTAGCGATAACGTTGGTTGCGTCAGAAAAACATTTCTTATAAAAAAAAACAATACGACTTACATCTAGTACAATATACTTAACTAAATTGTTTCTAATTATAATTATCGATTCGATACTGCGACTTGTCGTGGCTACAATACTACTGATCGGAGATATATATAGATTATATTGGAATGTATCAATAAATATATATCTGGAATACTTCAATCGCATACAAAGACTTATAAGTATAAGTAATGTAAATATAAATGATTAAGGAAAATCTGGAAATATCTATGTATGAAAACAAAAGAAATAGGGAAGATCTATATAATTTCTTCTTACAATTAAAGAAACAAGCGAATTAAAAAGATTGCTTCACTGGCAATATACAGCCTTGGCTAAACATATTAAACACATATATTTTTTTCAATAATCTAAAATTCTTTCATCTATATTGATTCCTATTAATTACCGACATTTTACATAAGTTTAAAACTTTCTTGAAGCAAAGGACAATTCACAGCAAGTGCCATAAATCAATTTTATAATTAAAACGTTAAGTAATGGTTAACAAGGTGCCTAATAGTTTTTGCTAAAGCCATATACTTAAGACTATATGTATCATGTATAATGTATTATGTATAAATAATACATGATACATTCTCAAGCGTTCTGTTTAGCATGTGAAAGTCAAGGTCAATTAACTTTTTTCTTATTGCGTGACGCAATATACTTGGATCTAAAGAATTATGTCACATTTTGCAATTTTTGCAATTCAATTGGTTCTTTAAATAAATTTCTTTTGTAATCTAGGAGAGAAGGTGATATTATGACATCCCAATTACATTTGACACCATTACTTTGTTAATAATTAATATTTAAGTTTAAAACTTGACAATTACATTCGTTAAAATGTGTTGAATCGATTCTGGACTCAAAGTTACGAAATATTAAGGATAAGTACGACCGTGTAAATGCTATACATAAATATAAAAAACGTCAATAATATATCGGTCAAAGTTAGATGTCATGAATATAATACATATTTCTAATTTTTAAATTTAATTATTTCAGATGTAACTGTGCGCTGAAACGTTCTGATGTTCCTATATATGAGAAATAATTCCCCCTAAATTAATTTGATAAAGAAATATTTATTACTTAGAACATTATTAATAAAAATGTTGCATAATGACAACATTGCATAATGACTCAAAGAGAAACATGGGTGGTAATGTGGCTTTTCTTAAAAAATTAATTTTGTTTGGAAAATAGTATTTGATTACAAAATTAACAAAAAAGTAAAACATTTTAAAATGTATGCATACATATTTAAATAAATGTATATATGTACATTCACACAACTTCTGCATATATAAAGCTGCTAAAAATCTCAGTACTAAAAATAGTACACGTAATACAAAGTATAGATTAACAGTAGAGCTACAATCGATTATCAAATAATTATTTTGATATGAAAACCTCAAAAAAGAGGCTGTGAGTAAACAATATCCATAGAGGGCCACATTAGCAAAATGCCATGCTATTGTTTAAATTTGCATAATTCAAAATATATACAGTCAAATAAAATGTTAATAGCAGAGATATTAAGAGGGGCAACAATATCTACACTGGCCATAATATCACTTTCTTCTCTATTAAATATTTAAAATATTGAAAGAAAAATTTAAGCTTGAAATAAATTATTTTTGCCATCAGCAAAAAATGGAATTTTACAATTTTTGATATTAGATAGTTTGATATTAAAATAAGTTTTATAGACATACTTTTTTGTCTTTTAATCTCTCACAATTTTAAAGCATTAATTTCTACGTTTGGTACTGTTAACAAATAACAATAAATTGTATTCTTCTTTTTATACTCTCCTTTTATATTATCTTATACCCTCCATTTGCCATAATTCATATCATGTTCTCTAATAACTTTTCGTCCTTTTACGATTTCTCGAGCAAGTAGATTATCGTGTAACCGAAATCATTGGTGCACAAAAGGAACAGCAATATAGATAACATTCAAACACCGCATATTTTTTTCTTGAAGTTTTCTCGTCGCGCACTTTTCCGATTCAATTCACCGTGTTTTCATGATTTCTCCTGGGTCTTTCATCCGCACGCGAATAAAACGTCAATCTTTCAAACATAGATGTAGATATTCGCAAAACTATTAAGCGTAAACACTCCTATTAATATTGGGCTAAGAAAAATATCTTTTTACAAGTTGGTAAAAAGATTTTTTTACCAACCCACATATTCTATTTTTAAAAAATTATTAATTACACCACTTGATAGAGCAACATTTCAGCTTTAAGAATCTGTATTTTTAATTGCGATACGATGATTTTTAACGGAGTTAGGAGCAATAAAATCAGAATCTTTCTTTTTACTTAATCCGCAAGTAACTCAGGAACAAAAAATCGTAGAAACATTTTTAAAAAACGATTTTATAGGGAAAGTTTCAAGCTTTCACGATAGATAGTCGAAAATTTGCTCAAATTTTTTTTTAAGCACGCTACAGACTTACAAAGAGAAAAGAAAATTTTTCATTTTTTTCAGCTCGTAATTTTCTATATGTAAAAATTACAAAACTCACATAAATTCGAAAAATATAGTAACCATTCGAAAATAGAGATTTCAAGCTTTAAAACCTTTTTTTTAAATTTAAATCTTGATCATTTTTAACGAAGATATTGATGGGGGAAGGTCTTTTACCAACTTGTAAGGGGACTTTTTCCCTAACTCAATATAACGTCCTGACTAAATTTTAGGAAGTTTTGGAAAATTTCACTCCCGAAGAGTGATAGTTGCGCCATTCCGGTAGGAGTGAAATTTTCACTCTTAGAAAGTAAAGAATCACCCTTAGAGAATAAAAAATCACTCCAAGCGAGAGTCAATTTTCAATCTCTGCGAAGAGTGAATAATTTCACTCTCCGAAAGCAAAAACCGAAAGTAAATGTTAATTTTAGCTCCTCTACATTCAATCTTACCAAAATTAGGCTCATATTTGAAGTATTTTTGCACAAAACAAATAAATATGGCAGAAAAAAGCGTCGCTCTGCCTCGCGAAGTGAGAAATTAGTCATTAAAGTTGACCTTTTAGTTAGGAAATTCATTTTTTGAAGGAGTGAAGTGAAATTCACTTTTGCTGCACTGGCGCAACCATCACTTTCCTTGGAGTGAAATTTCACTCCTAAAAATTAAAAGTGTACGTGCATCGTATTTTTTGTGACGTTCAGCGATTTTTCACATCTAATCAGTATACTCTATATATTTATTAATATACCGCCTTCTTCATTGTACATTTGATCTATTTTCATTCGGCTGGTTAAAAATGAAAAAATAACAAACTTTTCGGAACAAAATTATTAAAAAGGTCTCTTAAAAAAATGCATTGACAAATATTTTTAAACTACATTTTGAAATTTCTTAAAAAGATGGATATCTAAAAATGTCTAAGTTAAACCATTCCGATGATAAAAATGTTTTGTATATACTATCGCTCTTAAGATAGTAGACGGATGCAGGTAATCAGAAAATGGAAATGTATACTAGAAATTATCAGAAGTTTATCAGAAATTATCAGAAGAAGTAACGAATAAGTATAGTCGTCATCGGAGCGTAATCACAGTTTCTTTTTCCAACAATATACATTTGTATTAATTATGACGTAATTGGGGAATAGTTACTTGAATGAATGATGAAACCGAATGTTGACGATCTCGCGCGTTTGTCATTCGTTAACGCTATCGAAAGAGAATTGTCCTCATATCGCGCATATATGATTACGTGAAAGGATTATTTACTAACAATGACATTCTTGCGAAGTTAATAATTCGATGCGATATAGTGGGACTCCATCGCTTTGCGAAATTCGCGAATCAGTATATGCAGCGAATAGGAGTACATAAAACATTAATATCTTTATATGTATTAAATACGAATAATAATTTACACTGCAGACCAAAAGGTTGGAAACGATTAAAAATGGACATTTTAAGATCATTTATTCAAATATCTATGACAAAATGTTGAAATCATTTATTCAAATATTTATAAAATAGTTTTAACAATAATTTTGTAGATCTCTCTAATAACTGTTATTGGACTTGAAGAATTATTATTAAAAATACACACTATTTATGGACATTTGAGTAAATAATTCTTAAAATGTCTATTTTTAAAAAATAAATATGTTTCGCCTGGAGTGTAAGTACCTTCCTAAACGCCATCATAAGACTAAGTATAATTTTTCAAACATAGAAAAAGCGCCTCTAAGTAAAAAAAATACTAATGAGAGAGACATCGTCAATCTTTATATCGTCAATGTATAACGGTGTTGTAATCAAATGTTATCGTCAATTACATTTTTGAGTAATTCTTTTGAAGTGTGAGACATCGATTGCTCTTACTTACTTAAAATCTTTAAAAATATTAAATATTAAAAATATTAAATCTTTAATAATTATATTTGTATTAACAACAAAATAAATAAATATTCAGCAGGAAAAATCAGCAGGAGAAAAGCAAAAATTGTAAATGCAAAAAGTGCAAGCAACCTGAACAAAAGTCTAAATGCAACTTTAACATTTTATTTAATTTTTAATCGCTCTGCTGGTTCTACTTTAACTTTTAAAAAAATTATCACTCCCACCATACCGCTTTCCAGTATGATTTTAAATTTCATCAGCTCTATATTCTGATGTAACAATCATCTAAGATTTACCGCTACTTTCACTTCGACGCATAATGACGGGAAAATCCGAAAAGAATGATAAAAACGAGATTTTTATTACATGCTATTCTATTCTGACGATACTAAACTTTTTTTAGATAATGGAATTTTGAATAAATTTTCCATATATTAGAAGATCCGCGTGATTCATTGATAGAAAACGAGAGAACATACGTATAATTGCGTATATAAATGTTATGATTACATCTTATCTCTA